TGCTCTATGTCCAGTTCCTAACCTTATACCTAGCCTTAAATCAGGACCTGTTAGGATGCACACAGAGCTCAGGTCACCTCTTTCCTTCAGAACATACCAGGTAAGGATTTTAATTAGAGAAGGTCATGCTTCTTAAATATCCCTTACTAAAATCCAAAATTAACTCCGTTCACAATCTTTTAGTGTTATTCAACTTGTGTATCTAGCTCAATTTATTCAGAAGTGAAGAATCAGGAAACTGATGTCTGAGAAAAACCAATGCTCAAGAAACACATTAGACACTGTTAAAATGCCTGCCTGCACAACTACAAGAAACTATTTATTTTTAAATAAAAACAACTAGCCACACAGCAGTACTACATTAGTTTCATTTTCCTGGCCAGTCTCTGCAGTCACCGTGCTTCAACTTACCTGTTGCTGGAAATACTAGATGTAAATTATTTTTGCTTATATTAAAAATATCAAACATAGCAAAAAAATTACAGTGATTATTTTCAGTTCTACAGTATTTTTGGCATGGGCACACATTTTGGATGTTACTTTTTTTTCCTTTTTGCTGGTATCACAGAAGGTAACCTAACTTCTGTGTTTATTAATCAAACTTAGGAAGTTTCAGTTGCAACTGTTTGTTCACAAATGAGTTCCACTATTCATCAATTTTGGACTCATTATGAGAGACAGAAAACAAAAGACAGAAATAATGCTTGTGTTACATGAAGGCTGGAAACATCATGACCACTGATATTATTTTCACATGGTTTGGAAACACAGAAAATTTAAAATCCTTCCCTCAAGAGGAAACTTCAAGTTCTGCCACCATTCAACAATGGGTATTATTTTTCTACAATGCCTAAAGCATGCTGGGCAATTTGCACACAATGAAAAAGAGACACATTCTCTCTCTGGGGGGTTGTGATCTTAACAACATTATAGTGCCACAGCAATTGTTCTACATGAGTGGGGGGCACCCCAACTCATTATTGACACAATTATTAATGCTTCAGGGAGGACAATACTACCCCCAATCAAATAAAAACTAGGCCTTAGTAACAAGAGTAGGTTTCTTGAGCTAAGGGCTGATCTAGACATATATAAATGCACTGTTTAATTGAATCTGTTTCCAAACTGATCTAGATAAATGAGTGCCATTTCCTTGTGTGGACATTCTTAAATCAGTTTAGAAACTGGCTGAGTTAAATCAGTTGCTCTGTGTGTTTGCAAACTTGGCTTAATGTTTTTGTTTTTCCATTCTGCCTCCAATCCTCCCTTTGAGGAACATCACTGAACAAGTACCAAACCAACTCCAGCAGCACCTGCACTCTTCCAGCTTCCTAGTTCCCTGCGTCGACATGACAAGGGTATTCACATTGGCCAACATTTTCAAACCTGTGTGCCTAAAACTGGATACCTGATTCCATGCTAGGCACTTAAATATGCATTTAGATGCACAGCTTTAAACATTCCATTTTGAAAAAGCTGGCTTTATGTTTAGTGGATGATCAGTTGACATGCAGTATTTTAGGATGATTCTGTTAGGTCTTTCAACAGCTCCTGAGACAGATAATCACAAAGCACTGTTGATTTGTCTTCAGCTGCATTAGCAGGAAATGGGATTAATACACTGTTGCCCCATTGTTTCTTCATGAGAAGGCCCCGAAGGGTGGTGATAAGCAATTGCTGATTTTCCTGCATAGTTATCACATGTGAGCTTCCTCTGGATGTCAGGGGTGCTAGCTTGAAATAGTAAAAAAAACCAAACCACCAAATAAATTGTTTTTGTTTTTAGTGCCCCCCTCCAATCTATTCCAGCTCCCATGCAGGGTTCTCATCTTGTCACTCAGTTTCTGATCCATGTGTATATGGATGCTGCTTGGGGAGATGATGAATTTTGGGCTTCAGAGCCATTTTCGATACTCAGGTCCATGTCTGTCTCCTCGTTAAATCTGGATTCCTTCATTTCCAAGCACGATAGCAAAGTTAAGGTCCTAGTTGAAAGCTAGATGGCTTGTTTATCCTCTCCATCATCAAATCAATGTAGTGGTGGCAGAGCAGATTGATTTAAATCCCAAATTTTAATCATGAATTAAATCAGGAAGCCGGAAACTTTGATTTAAATAACTAATTATCATTTTGCTTTGCATTTATACTTTTTAGCTATTTTCCTGAAGAAAGGTTGATTCTCATTACCACTGGTAACGATTAAAACATGTTTTCAATAGCCTAAAGTGTCTTGTACCATCTGCACCTCACCCTGGAGATTGCAACTTTTCATCTCTCATATGGTTTCCTGGCACGTAACCAAGCCAGTGTCACCTCAGGCAGGACTATTGTGATACATTCTAGTTAGGACTGCCTTTGAAGACCATTCAGAAATTTCAGGGCAGAATAACATATGGAGATATACCTATCTCATAGAACTGAAAGGGACCTTGAAAGGTCATTGAGTCCAGTCCCCTGCCTTCAAAGCAAGGACCAAGTACCATCCCTGACAGATTTGCCTCAGATCCCTAAATGGCCCCCTGAAGGATTGAACTCTCAACCCTGGGTTTAGCAGGCTAATGCTCAAGCCACTGACCTATCCGTCTCCCCATATGGCCTTAAACCCAACCAAGTTCTCGGGCACAGTGATGCTACCGAGTATCCAATATGAACCCTACTTCACTGTGTCATCTTGATAAAAATCAATGCTCAAGCTTCTACATCATCAGTTGCTTGGTATGCCTCTTCTCTCTCAGGCTTGGTTTACACACAGTTTTTGTATTGGCATAACTATGTTGCTTAGGAATATGATTTTTACCAATATGATACTGAGATTCAATCCTTTGTGTGGATGCTGCTATAACAGAACGCATGTGGTTATACCAAAGTACTTTAGGTCCATATACAAAGGGAAATAAGATGCACAGGTACAAGCACATATATACCAGTATAACTATGTCTGCACTTGGAGCTGTACTACTTTAACTATACCAGCATAACTAAAATGGTACAACTTGTGTGTGTAGACAAGGTCTTAGAATGCAAGGAATAAAAATATTCTGTGGTAGGTCAAGGAGGACACTTAGGAAGCACGGCCACTAGCGCACTGCTTATTATTGCTACATGTGTTGCAGAAAACATTCCTCTGACTACTTAAGCCACCTAGAATTATATTTTCTACTACTACTACTACTACAACAAGTGGCGAATAACAGGACTAAGAGGGGAGAAAGACACTAAACCATGCTAGGGATGTAAAATCCTCTTTTAAAAATTAACCTGTTAAACGTTATGTTTAACCGGGATTCCACGACCCTGCAGTGTGGCATTGTGAGCCCAGACAAGCTGGAGCGGCTGGGCCCACTGAGCCACAGGCTGCTCCAGACAGGCTGGACATGGGTGGAGGCTGCTGTGGCCGGGCATGCCGCTCAGCCAGGCCACCATTTAACCCTTTACATCCCTAATCCATGCAGCTAAGCCTTCTACTGTGACAGGATAATGGAGTTAAACCCACTTGAAGCTCAACACCCAGCAATGACTGGCTTGTTTAGGAGTCTAATGTGCCACTGTGGGTTAGTTAATAGTCTACGTCAAAACTACAAGCCTCTTTCGAAAGAGGCTTTTTCGATAGAGATAGTCTAGACAGCAAACAGTATTTTCGAAAAAGAGAGCCACTTTTTTGAAAGAGAGCATCCAGGCAGTCTGGATGCTCTCTTTCGAAAAAGCCCTGGTTTGCGTTCAATAACACTTTTTTCGAAAGAGCACTTTCGAAAAAAGGCGTTATTCTTTGCAAAATGGGGTTTTCCGTGGTTGAAAAAACTGCCACGTTCTTTCAATTTAATTTCAAAAGAACGCGGCAGAAATCTAGACACGTGACTTTTTTTTTTGAAAAAACCCTGTAGTCTAGACACACCCTGAATCAGGTGGTCATAAGTTAAAGGGCCTGGGTTCAGACCTAATGTTGGCAGCAGAACACATAAATAGAACAGTTTACTGGCATCAAGAATTGCTGCTCTGCTAAACCAAGGTCACATCTGTCCATCTTTGGTGACTGTCCAAATGGAAGTTAAAGATCTGTTGGCCCTTTTTGAAAAGAACAGAGAGATAACCCTGGAGTCCTGGCCAGCTTTTCCATTTCTCAGTAAAAAAGGATGCAAAGCCCTAGGAGGTGTCTGAAGTGCCAAATTGTTGCTGTGTTTGCTTGTTATAAACTAGCACTATCAATATCCAGCTCAGTGCCTTGTACAGCACTTTGGAACCATCCATTTAGGATTGCTTTTTCATGGCAAGTCACACAAATGCCATGCCATGATATTACCCACTAAGCCTGGGGTATTCTAGAAAGTCAAAGATTACTTATATTTTTATTTCCTGAGGTCACAGCAATATAAGATACATAAATCAGAAAGAGAAAACACACACAACTACATGTCTGCAACAAAAGAGAGGAAACACTGCTGTAGGAATCTTTAACTTTGCATTTGCTGACTTTTATCTGGAATTTTAAAGTTTCATTCTCATCTATTTTACATTTCATTTTCTTTTATATTTTAGTTCCGAAGCATCTTAGTTGTCAAACAGCAGCCATTCTTGCTTAAATGCATTTGACAAGCTAGAAAGGGAAGAAGTTAAATGTGATACAAGACAGGGCTTCTAAATGAAGGTGTACCGTGTTTGTTTATAAAACCTGAATTGCTATACATACATTTGATATTATTGTTTTTGAAAATAAAATTTTTTTTGATAAATAATGAAACAAATATTGCCCTCTTGAGCTGTATAACAGCAAGACAAAGACACTTTCCTTCCCCTACATCTCATGCTAGGTAAAGTTAGTACCTGGCAGCGATACAGACAGTTATTGATTTAAATGATTATGGACCTGGAAAGTTCTTTTCTGTTGTTTATTATCCTGCTTGAGTTGCCACCACAACTGTATGATGTTACAAAATGGTTCCGAAAAATTAAAATAAGTTAAACTAAAACCATATTGTTGATCAAAGACTGGAAGAAATAGTCACCTGATGGTTTCCTCCTGATACAGCGAGCTGACAACTGGGCCTCCAAACCCAATTTTTCCTTCCTTTCCTCTCTTCTCTGGTATCTGAAAGAAAAAATTGGTAGGGTGACATGGCTTTCACACACAGTCTGCCTCATGCTGTAACTTTGTTTTTCAAGGGCAGGATGGGGAATGATTCTCTAGGATAATCTCCTTCTCGCTTCTCTACCACCATGCTCATATGCTTCATGTCTCTGTTACAGCTGAGGACTTAAAAAAAAAAAAAAAAAAAAAAAAAAATCAATCAATGCTGTTCTGAGCATACTCCAGAGGGAGTTTCCTAAGAGGCACAACAAGGCATCTGGTCTCTACCCTCCCTCCTCACCAGAATGAGTGCACAGCGCTCTCAGGGTGGGCCGTTTAGGACAGAAGTGCTAATCCTTTGGGAGGCAGCGTAATGTCATGTTACTAGACTGAAAAGCTCACCTTTATAAATCTATTTCATGAAGAATTAAATTAAATTGTATAGTGGTTAGCATAGCCAAGCGATTTAATCCAAACAACTGTAGGATTCTAAATTATTTCTACAATGATAGAAAAGGACAAAACGCTGATAGCTCAATATCTAGTCTAAAGCATATACTTTCAAAAATGACTTGTGATTTTGGATGCCCATTTTGTACACCTTGAAGTAGCCTGATTTTCAGAAGACACTGAGAAACTGTTCTCTAAAAAAATCAGGTGTTTCAGAGGCCACAAATCCCCAGCCAACCACTCCAGTAATAGACTCTGGTTGAGTTACTGAAGTCCTCTTAATTATGATTTATTTAAACCATTTCAAGTTACAGAGAATCCACCACTTGCTCTAGTTTAAATAGTTTAAAGGAGGTTTTTTTTTGCGCAAAACGGACCAGTCTATCCTGCTTGTTTTTGTGCAAAAAGCATCGGCAGAGATATGCAGATGACAACGTGACAAATGCTAATGAATGCTTCATTAGCATACTCTCTGCCAACAAATACGTGCAATGTAGACGTAGCCTGAAAGCTTTCCCCATCTACTTTCCGGCTACTGGAGATATTTTCTGCTAGCAGTCGCAGATCAGCCACATGCCATTGCAAGCAATCTCATCATACCATCCCCTCTATAAACCCATCAAGCACTGTTTTTTTAGTTTTTCTGTCCCCACTACTCACCTTGGGAGGCTATTCCAGAACTTCATTCCTTTGATGTTTAGAAACCTTCAGTTTGGGCAGGGGGTTGGATTCAATGGCCTCCTGATGTCTCTTCCAACCCTATGATTCTATGAATCTGAGTCAATTTGAAGCCTAAACTTGTTGATAGTCAGTTTATAGCCATTTGTTTTAGGTCCACATTGGCGATTAACTTGAATAACTCCTGTCCCTGCATGGTATTTATCCCTCAGATGTATTCACAGAGAGCCATCAAGTCTCCCCTCAGCCCTCTTTCAGTTAGGCTAAACAAAATAAGCTCTTGGAGTAACCTCTCACGAGGCAAGTTTTCCATCACTTAGATAGCCCTCCTCTGCACCTCTTCTCATTTGAATTCATCTTTCTAAAACGAAAGAGATCAAAATTGCACACAGTATTCCAGATGAGGTCTCAGCATTGCCTTGCATAATGCTGCTAATACTTGCCTGGCTCTACTGGAAATCCCTCGCCTCATGCATCTTAGGACTGCATTAGACTGTTTTCATTGCCCTATCACATTGGCGGCTCACATAGTCATCCTGTGATCAGCCAATACACTCAGGTCTCTCTCACACATGGTCACTTCCAATTGTTACAGCCCCAATTTACAGCAAAAATTCTTGTTGACCATGCACTTTGCACTATTCAATTTTATTCCATTTTGATTACTACAATTTACAAGGTCAACCATATCTTCTTGTGGCCATCTGGTCCTCTTATACAATGGCAATATCACCTCACTTTGTGTTAGTGGCAAATTGTATTAGTACATACCCGCTTTTGATGCTGATGTCAGTAATAAAAAAAAATTAAATATGACTGGCTCCAAGATCAGTGCCTGAGGAATTCCACTAGTAACCTCCCTCCTGCCTGACCATTCTCCTTTCAGCATGAAAGTTCACTACTTGTTCTTTATCCACCTTTCAATTTTCATAATAATCCTCATCTTCTCCAATTTAACTAATAATTTCTGATGTAAAACTGTACCAAATGCTTTACTGAAATCCGGGTATATCAGATCTACAGCATTTTCTACTGAAAAATCAGTTCTCTTCTCAAAGAAGCAGATCACGTTGGTCTGACACGATTTACCTTTTGTAAAACTATGATGTATTTACTCCCAATTAGTGTTAAGATCTATGCCCTTAACTACTTTCGCTCTTTCAAAGTTTGTTCTAAGATCTTGCCTACAACTGAGGACAAACTATCAGGCCTGTTGTTTTCTGGATCACTTTTTTCCTTTTGTTAAAAACAGGAACTATATTAGCAATTCTTCAGTCATAGGGCACAACACCTGAAGTTTACAGATTAAAAGTTTAAAATTCTGACGTCAAGGTTTACTTAACTGTACTGCTATCAGCACATTAGCTTATTATAAACTTTTTTTTAAAAAAGTAATTTACCTTTATGTTTACTTTTTGCATTTCTCTCAGTACGGACTAGTTAGTTTCAATTTCATTCTCTCCTGTACTCTCACAGTACTGCAATGTTTGCGTTACAAACACTCCGGGCACACTTGTTTTTAAAAAAATAAAATTAAAATTAAAAAAAAAGGCAAGGTAGCATTTCCATTGGCTTTCAGTTTGTGAAAGACTATTTTTACAATACTTAATTGTGGGTCAAATTTTATTCAACATTAGGGTAATTCCTTCTTAGCCGAATAGTCCCATTAAAATTAACAGCCTTCCTCATGTAACTAAAAAGGGCTTTTCCGTTGCTCCTTAAATTTATGATAAGGTGAAAACATTGGACAGGGAACTCACACTACAGATGGAAGCTTCTCTGATTTTCACTGCAGATGATCAAGAGAGATTTCCTTCTAAATTCTTTCCTGTCATGTTATCCGGCTATAACTGTCACTATGTTTGCACATTGTTAAAAACTGCACTGTCAATGTATTGTGCAGACATATCATAAGTGATAGTTCCTACCCCAAAGGAGTCTTAACGCCGTGGGAGCCCAAGTCCAAAAGTATGAGGCTACAACCGCCGACATTCTAGACCAGACGCGAGAACACTACCAACCAAGCACACTAATCCATACAGCATACACTATCCATTGTTTTGTTGTGTTTCTTAAAAGAACAAAAATGATCACTTTTTAAAAGCATGCTAAATTTGTACAGGGTTCTAAAATCAGAATAAACCACTAAACTTTTAGCTTGCAGCGCTCCAAGGTCAACTTGTCTCTAGAAACATGCACGCTGGAAGAGTTCTAAGAAGCCAGGTTGACTATCAGTGTGTTTAAGATTATTTCTATTGATCTGTTTGTTGCATGTGTTCCTGCGTAGTAAGTAGTGCTCATTGTCGTGGTTTTTGCCTATCCTTTTTTATGGCCTCAGTTCAGTAGGGCACTTAAACATGTACCCCACTGTCACACATATGGACAGTCCCATTGTTTTTAATGGGAACACTTGTGTTTAAGTTTACTCACATGCTTAAGAACTTTGCTAAATCATGATCTTATTTTCTTAAGACTGGCTTTGAAGCAGGGAATTCTGCTATCTTCTTTTAATAGGTTTCACAAAGACCTATTCCCTCTGGACTTGTAAGGTTTTAGAGGATTGGGACATAAAACACTATGTTAATAATGATTATCCTTGTTCCATGACAGCAAGAGGGCTGTTCACCCTCCACAGACTGGTTTAATGTGCAAATACAGTCGAATGGCTAGTCCTTTTTTAAACACATTCTTCTTACATCAATTGGGCAAATAACTAATACAATTTAAGAATGCATTTTAGACCATGGCTTGCAATGTTCTACACAGGAGGTGATCTTATTTTGTAATCATTAATTATCTTCAGTACCACAGCCCTTGTAGATCGTCTCTTCTTCCAAGCCCTCTAACTGCAGCTTGAAGGGTATTAACTTTTACTATTACCTTTTAACACTTCATCCTTTTTCTGCTGTGATTACCAACTAATATGGGGTCTCCTCCGTTCTAAGAGTTCCTGAACGCAGTTTTGCTAACCATTTTCCATCTTGCTCTGAAGTGTTGTGTGATGCTTTATATGAAGGACAAATTGGCTCGTGTGTGACAGAAAGAAAAATCTGTTCCTGGACAGTAACTGCAAGATAACATATGTGTATTAATATGTTCATTCTCTCCTTTTCCAAACAGTATACGCCATTATTTATTCTGGTTTCTCAAGTGTCAACAACTTCATAACCACAAAAAACACATATGAAGATGGAAACTTTATTTAAAAAGCAATTCACCCAGGAAGGAGATGCTAGGGATATATGTAAATTGTGGACTAAAATATTTAAGAGAAATTGGAGACACAAGGTGAGCAAGGTAATATCTGGACTAACTTCTGTTGAAGAGAGAAAGAAAATTACCATTTTGAAGGCTTATTGTCATAACCTTAAGTTAAAATATATATACACTGCTGTTTCTGCAAGAATTTCCATCACCAGCATAACTTAAATCTGCTCTTTGACTAAGGAATATAGCTGGCTTTAGGGATTTATTGGAGGATAACTACAAAATCATGGAGTACAAGTAGGGTGAAGAAGTGCTCCTCAGAATTAGAGTAGCTAAATGACACAAAATTCATGAGTTCACTGAATATTCTTGGGCTACATATTCGTTTCTCCAAATAGCGCTCTTCCAACCAACTTCCCAAACTACTCTAGTAATCAATTCAGACAGATTAGGGCTCTAACTCTCACATGTATAAGGAGGCCTTTACAATTTAGTTTCCTGATGAATTGCTACCCTTTGTGCCAAATTAATCTGCGGTATAAATCCATTGGCTTCTCTGGGGTTGCAGTTGTGATTCATTTGGCCCAAGGAATTTTCTGAGGCATAATTTATAAAAAGGTGATGTTATTTTTGAAAGGGTTTTTGTTCATGTGACTGCAGTAAGCATAAAAGCTACATGGGAAGAA